CTTCCAGAGGTCCTAAGTTCAATTCCCAGCAACCACATGGTGGCTCACAACCATCTGTAATGAGATCTGGTGCCCTCTTCTGGCCTGCAGTCATACATGCTGTATACATAATAAATAAATAAATGTTAAAAAAAAAAGAAAAGAAAAGAAAGTATGTAACTTATTTTAAAAAAAAGAATTTCAGATACCTACAGAATGTGGCATTTAAGATGTTTCAATAACCTAGGACTTTTCATGACAGTGAGACATGTCTTCTCCTGGCAGCATCCATTTACTTCAGAAAGGGATGATGGGTATCAAAGAACCCCCATATGGCATTTGCTTTTATTGTGGCAAATTTAGCCATTGGGCAAGAAACTACCCTTGTCTCGACTGCTGACAGTATGCTGTCCAAATTGGAAGAGGAGGACACATAAGAAAGTGAATGTTGAACTTTGCAAAGACAAGGTAGGATAGTCCTTCAAAATTCCAGCTTCACAGAGAACTCTGTCAGATATTCTAGGCCCACATGCCAAAGATGGATGCCCCAACATTGCAGAGGAACTTTGGGTGACTGTCCACACAGGCAGCTATTTCTGCCATTTCTATAGTTTTGAAAGTTGCTTGCTCTGCATTTCCTATTTATTCAGGTAACATTATATCCTCTTAAGTCTGTGATGGAGTTGAAGACAAAATGGTTATAGTTACATGTTTCTTGTTACCAAATTCAAAACAGAAACTACACAAGAGAAGTAAAGTTTATAAGGTTGAGACACATAAAAGCTTAAGTTGTTTATCTAAGAAAATGTTTTGAATGCCGGGCGTTGGTGGCACACGCCTTTAATCCCAGCATTCGGGAGGCGGAGGCAGGCGGATCTCTGTGAGTTCGAGGCCAGCCTGGGCTACCAAGTGAGCTCCAGGAAAGGCACAAAGCTACACAGAGAAACCCTGTCTTGAAAAACCAAAAAAAAAAAAAAAAAGAAAATGTTTTGAGGTCTAAAAAGGTAGTTGTAGGATGGTAATATAAGTTATGGGGGAAAGTAGTTTAGATATAAAACTTTGGCCTCACTAAGATAGAATAGATGATAATAATACAGTGCTTTCTCTGAATTTGCCAAATACAAATGGACTGAATATTGTGAATGAAATTCTTACCTGACAATTGTTTTTGGTTTTTCAAGACAGGGTTTCTCTGTGTAGTTTTGGTGCCTGTTCTGGAACTCACTTTGTAGACCAGGCTGGCCTCGAACTCACAGAGATCCGCCTGGCTCTGCCTCCCGAGTGCTAGGATTAAAGGCGTGCGCCACCACCGCCCGGCAACAATTGTTCTTATTGTACATAGTTTTACTATGTTAGAGTTAAAACCTTTCCTTTTTATTTAGATGAAAAGGGGGAAATGTGGGATATTTGTACACTGTGTGAAAATGTATTTTCTGTGACTAGTGTAATAAAAAGCTAAACAGCCAATAGCTAGACAGGAGGTATAGACGAGACTTCCAGGGATGGAGAGGACTTTGGGAAAAAGAAAGGAGGAGATGCCAGGAGGCACTGAGAGGGAACAGGAGGTGCAAGATGAAGGAGAGGCAAGGCCATGTGACAGAATGTAGATTAATATAAATCGATTAATTTAAGTTCTAAGATCTAATTAAGACAAGCCTAAGCTAATGGCCAAGTGATAATTAATAATAAGTCTCCATGTTGTTATTTGGGAGCTGGCTGGTGGGACAGAAAAAGACTCCTTACAATGCTGCAATCTTTTCTCTTAACCTAAGAAGCATGTTTGAAGCCGGGTGGTGGTGGCTCATGCCTTTAATCTTAGCACTCGGGAGGCAGAGCCAGGCGGAGCTCTGTGAGTTCGAGGCCAGCCTGGGCTACAGAGTGAGATCCAGGAAAGGCTCCAAAGTTACACAGAGAAACCCTGTCTCAAAAAAACAACAACAACAACAAAAATGTTTGACTATGGAGATGGTACCATGGCATCTGGATGGACATCTTGGCATCTCCTGGGACAGTGGGCGTATCCCAGTGCTACAGTCTGGAGCCAGACTCTGAGCTCTTCCAGAGTGATGTAGCAGGCTGAGCAAGTGTCTTTCCACTCTAAACGTGGCCAGCATTTTCAACAGAATAAAAAAGCACTCTCTGTGGTAGTGGTTCTCAACCTTCCCAATGCCACAACCCTTTAATACAGCTCCTCATGTTGAGGTGACTCTCCCACCAACCATGAAATTATTTCCGTTGCTACTTCATAACTGTAATTTTGCTTCTTTTATAAATCATAACGCAAATGTGTTTTCCGATGGTCTTAGGTGACCCCTGCAAAAAGGTCTTTTGCCCCCCAAAAGGGTCGCAACCCACAGGTCGAGAACTGCTGCCCTATGGTCTCCTCTAGCTCTCCTGTAATAAAAGGGCTACGGAGAATTATTGCCTGGAAGACCCTTGGCCTCTTTCTGAGCCAAGGGACCGTGATGGTTAATAGTCAATGACAAGTTAACTGGATTTGAAATCACTTGGAAGACACACCTCTGGGAATATCTGTGAAGCTGCTTCTAGAGACTTTCAACCGAGGAGAAAGGCCCTTCTTGAATATTAGACAGTACCATCCACGCATTCAGTTCCCATACTCAGTAAAAAGGGGGAAATGAGCTGAGTACCAGCATTCATCTTTCTCTCCTTCCTGACCCCAGAAGTAATGTGACCAAGCCCCCTCATGTTCCCACTGCCGTACCTTCTCCACCGTGATGGACTAGGTTCCCTCAACACCCCCTCCTTCTCCAATTGCTTTTATCAGATATTTTCTCATAGCAATGAGAAAAGTAACCGGCAGACCGGGAGACTCTGAGCCAAGTCGCATTGGCTAATGTCCTCTTTTTGAATGCAATCTGCCCATGACCCTGCCCAGGACCTTCCAAAGTGGAAAAGACCCCTGGTACCAAAACACTCCGTATGCCAGACCAAGGGAAGCTAGCCACCAGGAAGAAAGGATACACCTGCTGTCTATAGAGGGTTTCCCTCATTGATGGCTTCTAGGCTTTGACATCCTTTTGTTCGTGAAAGAAAGATAGAAGGTTCTTATAAAAAGCACACCAGAGCAACCCAGGAAGATGGAGCGTCCTCAGGAAGGACTATCACTGTCCCATTTCTTCAGGGCACTCCCACAGGCCAACTTTAGGAGCACTGGGATCAAGCACTGGGTGACTCTTGCCCTTCTTCGCCCATGTGCCCTTATAGTTAATACCTCTCAGGTGTGGAGACCCAGGTCTGTTTTGTCCTTGCAACCCCAAAGTGCCAAGACGTGATTGCTCCATTGTGTTTTGTAAGCAGTTCACGATGAGTTAATCCTGGCTCTTGAGTCTCCTGGACTGCAATTTGAGTGTTGCGTATCACTACTCGTTCATACTCCAACGCACAGGATTGAATCCACGTGGCTCAATGAAATGAACATTTATTCCACATCAGGAATAATATATCCTGAACACACACACACACACACACACACACACACACACACACACACACACACACACACATATATATATATATATATATATATATATATATATATATATA